TGGTCGGACCGTCGCACGGTGTACTGACCTTCCCCCCCCCCCCCCCCCCCCGCGTGCATCGCGCAGCTCCTCGATTTCTCCCTTTCTCCCCCTCAGCTCGCCCACTGCGAACGACAACCTCACTCAAGACTCACTCACACACAGACACACACGCACGCACAGACGCACTCGAACCTTGAATGTCAACGTGTCAGCACAACATGGCGCACTTATACCACCAGACCTCCACGATTTGTGACAGTCCCCCGGAAAAACCATCGAATTGTGACTCCGGCCTGGGGGAGGACACATCCTCAGTCTCTGCCAACATAGCCATCGCTGTTCCGACAGAGGCGCCGGCTGTTGATCAGCTTGCCAAGGCACCCAGGACCGGAGTGAATGAAAAGGCCAAAGTGATTGTGCTCGGTGCGGGTATTTCTGGCCTCCGCGCCGCCTCTGTGCTCCAGCGCCACGGCTTGGACGTCACTATCATAGAAGCTCGCGATCGTATCGGTGGTCGTATCCACACCACGAGAAATGCACAGGGCGTGCCAAGAGATATTGGTTAGTCCTTTACGCACCAAAACTCGTAGCTGATACTGAGCTGCAGACCTGTGTTGGTTCGTTGATGGCCGAAAGGCTTCTTCACCCCAGGGGTATGTTCTTACTCGCTTGCTAACGCCAGGAAACACTGTAGGCGCTGCATGGTGCCATGAGACCAGCCACAATCCTCTCGTCAAGCTGATTTCGAAGCTGAGGCTCGACTACTACTATGATGACGGGCTGCCCATCTATTATACGGAGCAAGGTCGGACTGGTGCTCAAGCCAAACTCAAAAAAGTCGCCGACGAAGCTGCAGACTATATGGAGTGGTACTACGGAACGCACCCCGAAGCGCCTGATCAGCCCGTGTCGGACTTTGTGAACGCGTTCGTTGCCAATCATGAACTCATTACCGATGATGAGCGCTTGTGGGCACCACAGGCATTCAAAGAAGTAGAGCTCTGGATTGGAACCTCCATCGAGACCGCCTCTTCCAAACATCTCTCCTACTTCATTACCGAACGCAATCTGTACATGAAAGGTGGTTATGATGCCATTGTCCAATGGACTGCCGATTGTCTCCTGCCCAATACCATCCAGCTGAACAGCGTTGTCGACAGCGTCATGTGGTCGGAAGATGGTTCCAGGAAATCTGCCGTCGAGTATCACGACGATGCAGGAAATGTGCGTGTCGTTGAAGCCGATGCCGTGGTCTCTACGCTGCCGCTGGGCGCTCTCAAACGTGACCTGGTCCACTTCGATCCACCATTGCCTAACGACATGCAATTCGCTATATCCAAGTACAGCTATGGAGCTCTAGGCAAAGTATTCTTCGAGTTTGCTGATGTCTTCTGGAGTAAGGAGAATGATCAGTTCGTGTACTACCCGTCTCCTCCAGAACTGGTCATCGACCAGTACTCGACCTCACCTGGGGCATCGAGCACCTCTTCTGACGAACAGGACTCAATTCTCAACTACGCGACTGTTACTATCAACCTCTGGATTATGACGGGGGGGAAGGAACTCTGTATCCAGATCGCTGAGCCCCTGACTCAGCGCATCGAGGCCATGACCACTAAGGAGGAGATCTACAAATTCTTCGAGCCCCTCTTTAAGCTTTTCCGCACAGAGCCATACAAGTCTCTCCCTCCTCTCATCGATGTGGAGACTACGCACTGGTCTCACGATCCGCTGGCTGGATATGGCTCCTACTCTGCCGACAAGGTTGGCGACGAGCCTGATCTGTACATGGAAGCTCTTGAGGAGCACAAGGATTCGCGACTTCAGTTCGCCGGAGAGCACTGTACTCGGAGTGGTAATGGATGTGTACACGGCGCATTTGCCACAGGTGAGACTGCGGCGAAGAATCTTCTGAAGAGCCTCGGCGTGGAACATGACGGTGGAGATTTTCTCAGCCTTCATTGAGCAATGGAATTTTGCATGGGGCGTTCATTGTCGATGATTTCACTCTTGCTGCATTCTGTCTCTACGAGACCCCAGTGCTGATCCAGCACAACATCGTCACATCGCAATATGATCAATGTTCAGCTCGTATGATCTCTTCCTCACTGCGCACATTTTGGACGTCGTCGAATAGGGTCTCGAATGATGCATTCGATGCGAATGTGAAAGTGGGAGAAAAACAGGGGAAAGGTGTCTGTCTCTCCGGCCACAATCGGCCACCGAACTGAAAGCCTCGAGAATGATCGCTGATCCCAGCCCTCCCTACTTGAACTTCGACAAGGCTTGCAGAACACAAAAGGCCTCGAGAGTTCCGTGTAAGACTTGGTAAGTGCGCAGTCATCTGGCGAACATATGGACGAGACTGCGGAAGAGCCGTTGTATAATTGTGAGGTGCTATAATGATAAGCGATAGATATTACTAGCGCTTCTCCACTGCCCAACCGCGTTATATCCTGTACGGTCATCGCTTTCTCCAAGGTCGCCTCGAAGCTCGCTGGTTAAGGCGAGCAACGCCAAAAGAAAAAGAAAAGAAAAAGGAAATCATCAAAATCATCAAAATCATCAAAATCATCCAAAATTAACCGTAATCAATCGGCAGCAAAAAGAGATTCGTTACGTGCATATCGTCCTCTCGCACTTGAGCAGTCTTGCTATGCTCGGCATCTGGAGCCCGCATTCTTGACATCGCCGCCGCACTATCAATCATACCGACCGCATCGAAAGCAAGCACTCGCACACGATTTGAGCCCATGTCCCGTCGCATTTAGTGGCCGTTAATAGTACCAACGAAATCAATAACAGCGGGTGCCTACGGGAGAGGTTAGTAGGCAATCTTCCTGCGTGTATGGACACTTTGCTCCCGACTTACAATCTCAGCGGTCAATGCGGCGCACAGTCCCCAGACGACAGCCGCAACTAAATGTGATTACGGAGGTCAATACGTCTGTTCTCCTCCTCGACACGACACTCTGCGAGCTCGGGATGGACTGGAGTATACGACTTACGAAGGAGGAATGCCGGAGGTTCCAAAACGCCTTCGGCACAGACGGTGACGGCCACGATGACGGTAGCAACGACGGCTAGGCACGCAATCAGTCGAAGTCGTAGAAGGCGCGGAGCATTGCGCGTAAGGGTGGTGATGATGCACTTACTGATGAATGCACTAATCGAGTCGAGGAAATGCCAGTTGATGCCAAGAAAGCCGTCTTCCACCAAATCGTTGGTGCCTAGGCTCCTAGGCACGACGGCGACGGCGGCGGCGGCGTAGGGCTCGAGTGCCGTCACTGTGGTGACATCCCGAGCGAGACGCGCTTTAGTAGCGGCGGCTTTCTCGACTTCATCCGCTTTCATAGCGGCTTGATCGAGCTCATGCGCTTTCTTCACCAGGGTTTTCGCTCCCGCTTGTGCTGCAGCCCTGTGTCCGGAATTGATTAGGAGCAGGAGGGATCGAGTGGTGCTGATGACATGTTGGTGGGGATCTCTTCGTCCTCGGGGTGCACGATATGTCCTATCCCAACACCCAAGGGCACTTCGCGGGCTGATATGCCACTGCTTGTTTTTGGTACACGGGGTGTAACCTCCCCGTCCACGTCCACGACCACGACCACGACCACGACCACGACCACGTCCACGTCCACGTCGTTTCTCGATGGATCTTGGACCGTTCGCCGCTTCAATCAGCTCCGGATCCCCCGACTTGAGAGCCACCTCTCGCGCGTACTGGTTGAACATCTCCAAGTTCCCTTCCTCGGCGTACTTGATGCCTTCGAGCTCATGTGCAGTCAGCGCAGCACGGTCGTCGAGTTCGTTGCGTGCGTGCAGCGTGGTTGGGGAGTACAGCTCGCTCGCTTCACGCTTGACCTGCGCAGGGACGAGGAGTGCATGACAGGACAGAGTCATCCATACAAGAAGCATAGCAAGCATCTTGGGTGCGAACATGTTGTTGTAGTTGTAGGGTGGTGGATGGTTGGGGTACAATAAAGTGTATGAAGAGTAAGGTAGGTACACAGGAGTTGTTGGACGACGGGACAGTCACAACAGGAGTCTGCTGACGCTTCTTAAATATGTTTCCAGAGGTGTATGTGTGTGAGTGTGACAGCGTGCAAGAGAGAGGAGCTTTCGCTATCTGCCATCCTTTCCCTACACATCTCTGATACAGACTGGTTAGTCTCGCGAATGGGTGGTGCCAGAGGGATGTCATGCCGTCGGCGGAACTTGCATCAAGATAGAGAACAACACGTCCAATGGCAACACTTGGATAGAGAGACTCAAGGTGGCTGGCAGTCCTAGGTAGTCGTGTCGCTATGGTGAAGACTCTGGAAAGTACTGCCCGCCGGCAGCAATCGTGTCGTCTCTCCCCATGCTGCTAGGTTCTTGACAAGCTCTTAGGGCTCCACGATTTGCAACCTCATCTCGATCCCTTCTGACGATCATGCCGCTATAGCACCCTGGTGCTAACGTGATAGCACTCCCGATGGTGTCAGTCCCTTGTCAGAGCGTCATCGGAATCTGCCATCTTGTTATCATGTCTAAGCGATACCTGGACTGGCTGCCAAGTGTCACTGTTCTAGGCGAAGTCTATGGAATGAAGGAGAATGTGCCCGGGGGGCTTGTACCCTTGTTTCAACAAGTTGGTTCTTTTGTTCCAACAAATTGGTGGACCGTGCAGCGACAGGTGCTCGAAATTTTTGACAATCATTGCACACAGGGGAGAAGGGGAAGGGGAGGGAGAAGGGGGGTGATACAAGCAGCTCATAGTGCATACAGCTCGCTTCTGTCCTCCTTCTTGTGCCCCCCTCCTCCTCCTCCTTCACCTGTTACAACGCCTGTCTTCCCCCCCGAAGAGTCCACCTGGATCAATCTCTCGCGCAAGTACTCAAGCTATTCCTGTAACAACGACCTAATTCCCACTCTCAAGTCATGCAGCTCAGACCTGCTACCGCTATCGTTTTCCTGGTTGCATTCTGCATCAAGTAAGTGTAGTAGACCCTTGACCTGAGTCGCCCACTACTCCAATAGCAACATGCTCAGATGATGAATAGCCATCACCACAGTGTCAATGCCTTCCGCTGCACTACCCGGTGGATTTCATCACTGCACAACCATGCCATCGACCAGCTCTATTCGGACGCAATCACCCGATCCGGCTGCAGAAAGGTATATCCTCACAATCCTGAGCGCCTCTTCTATTCTCCGCAGGGCTGGTGCTGCGGTATCGGTCCACAAGAAGGGAAAGTAGGCCAATCCCAGCTCGTCACCGCATGTGCGGCCGCTCTCGACCGCAGTCATGCCCAGGCTACTCATGAGGATCCATATCTATGCAACTGTGGAGCTCCGGGACTGGTATGCCAGCCCGGCCCTCCTGCCTAGAGCACTACACAGACACTGGGTCACCGGAATCGCAAGGAGGGGGGGAAGGGGGGGGGCGGGGGGGGGGGGGGG